ATTATTATTATTATTAATAATAATAATAATAATAATAATAATAATAATAATTATATTTCTATACCACCCATAGCCAAAGCTCTCTGGGTAGTTCACAACATTGAAGTCCCCCATCCAGATTCCAACCAGGCCTGACCCTGCTTAGCTTCCAAGATAAGGCATGATCAGGCCCTTCAGGCACGCATGACTCAGAGGAAGGTTGCTGATTGCACAGATCAAGAGTCCCTTAAACCAGCTCCCCTGGGAAAAATCCGGATGATGCCTGTGTCTCCCTTTTCCTAATTGGATACTCTAACCACTGTACCACACTGCTTTTTGGTGGGCCACAGCAAGACACTTACTGCTTGACCAGGGAAACAATTGGTGCTGCTCATTCACCCTTTAAAGCTCCGTTTTCTAGCTCCTGATAGGATACAGTCACATGTTCTCAACCCAACCTACCTCACAGGGTTGTTGTTGTCAGGATAGGACTGAGAGTGGGAGAAAGAGAACGATAAACCGCTGCGAGTTCTTTAAAAAAAAAAGAAAAAAGGTGGGCTATAAATCAAATAAATAAATATTACTTGGCTACCAAATGAGAACACAGAGATGAACTTTCTCTGCCACACTGTACGTAGCTTTGACATTCAGGAAATTATTTCTCTCAACAGCAATAAACTCTTTTTAAAAATCCAGAGGAGCCCCAAGCTTTGCCTTGTTCTAACCACAGGGTCCTTTAGCTCCCAGACGAAAGCTGTCTGAGTTGAGTGACCCTTTCAGAAACAAGGGAAGCAATCCAGGCTTTATTCGGTTGGGGATGATGGGCAGGGTGGGCGCTGGGAAGGTGCTTGGTGGGGGCAAGCTGTCAGCTCCACTTCTGCGTGAGGTCCGGCTCCAAAAAGCAGTACCCATCTCACAATGCAGGCAGATTTCCAAGCAGGGAAAGCTTGCACTTTGAGGTCCCTCTCCTTCAGGACAAGCAGGGCAACAAGCCCTTGCCAACCTCGCTTCCCAGGCGGGCGCAACTAAATATTCGCTTTCAGCCAACTTTCCCATTTTTAAGCACATGCTTCATGAACAAACCACATTCTAGATGGTCCGGTGGCTTCAAAGATAGCTTTTGGTTCCTGCCTTTGGACAAATAGAATGCCAGCAATCAAAGAGGAACCTGCAGCACCCACGAACTGATGCCCCACACAGGCTTGATGCCTGCTTGCACGACCGGAAAGAGCGGCTTATCTCCCCCAAGATTTCCAATCTTGATTTCCAGATCAAGCGCATGCAGCAGAATATGCCACGAACACGTGAACCGCCTCCGTTCTCACTGAGAATCTGGCTCCCCAGTGAATTTGCCACTCAACTTTTCCGCAGCAAATGCTTCAACGGAGCTAATTTTAAATAAACAAAGCTTTGAAGAAGGTGGAGGGGGGAGGCAGAGAGGCAGAGAGTTCTTTGTAGGAGACTGGGGAAAGGTTGCAAAAATAGAAGCCTTCCCCTTCAATTCCCTTTTCCTCTTTCTTCTAGAAGATGAGCTAACATCACACACTGCAAATCAATTTTTAAAATAACATAAGAAGAAGAGGAAGAAGACAGAATCGAAAGCTTCTGTTCTGAAGATTCATCGTCGCTGAATCTACAGGATGGGTTGGAAGATTGATGCGAACCCGCTGGGTGGTGGCTGTTTGGCAGAGTCTCTGCTTGCAGGAGGTTCTGGGTACGATGGCAGGGAAGGGAAGGGCAGGATGGATGGACGGACAGATGGATGGACAGATTCAGAGAAGACGTTCATAGAAAAGACCCTTTTCTGCCTGAAACCCTGGACAGCATCTCTGCTACTCAATAGTAGACAGCATTGGTTTAGAGCCATGATGGCGAACCTTTTAGAGACCGAGTGCCCAAATTGCAACCCAAAACCCACTTATTTATCGAAAAGTGCCAACACTGCACTCAAACCTGAAAACTGAGGCTTTAGTTCAGAAAAAACAACTCACAGCCCATTCATATATCCCCTTGGCAGCACACTGACCGGCCATGGGAAAGCTCGGATGAGTCACGGCCAGTGAGTCACATCTCGTGACATCGTTGCCTGGCGCCACTACTCCTCTCCGAGCATGCGCAGGGCCCCTGTGTGCGCTGTTATCCGATGCTCGGCTGCTGGGGCGATGCTGCGGCGACTTGGTCCGGGTGCCGACAGAGAGGGCTCACTGTGGCATGTCTGCCATAGGTTCGCCCCCACTGGTTTAGATGGACGAAAAGAGAAGACAAGAAGTCCATTTTTTCAGGACTGCTTGGCACCCTTCTGTTCTCCTGGTTACACCTTCCTTTCCCTGCTCCTCACCCTTTTCCATCTTTGCTGTCACATTAATTTGCCCACACTTGACGCAATGGGCCACGGCAAGCCGCGTGGTTTCCCTTTCCTTGAGCTCAGGCAGCTTTGAGTCGGACATCATGGCATGATGGATCGAATCAAGTGGTTCCCCATGCGATATAGGACTGGCTAGAGGAAGGACAGAAGGACCAAAGGCTTGTGAGGGTAAAAGGAACAGGAGGAATGGAACAGCATCTACAGCGACTGCTGAAAGGAGCCAAATGTGTTTGCAACTGGAGCCAAAAACTGGCAAAAACAGGAAGCAGGAATTTTTGACATCCACAGCAAAGGCAAAACAAAACAAGGTAAGCGTTTTCAGCTCATGACCATCTATGTCTGCAAGTGATGGATGATGCTCCCTGGACCTTTCGAAGGCATTTTCACTCAAGCCCCACCCCGAAGTATCTGAGGAAAACAGTGTTGTTTTTAGCAGGGCTGGGTGCGTCCTTCTGCGTTCCAAGCGAGTGTTAATGGATAACCTTTGCAAGGAAGTGCATAGGAGTTCTGCCAATGGATGGTGGGAGCCATCTTAACGTCAAATTCCAGTGCTGCATTGATTTGCCAGAACTTCTTTGGAGGAATAAAAAATGGGATGGACCTAAGTATTTCCAGATGGGAGCAGACTCATAGGAGTGGAGAACCGTGGCCTGGAATTACAAGCAGGGGAAGACCTTAGCTGTGCTACCATTTTCTATCCAGCAATTTCCATACAGGATGTTGACTTCCCAAATCGCTGATTCAGCCGCCTCCTTAAAGAATGGCCGGCAGCTCAGGTGAGCCCTGGGATACTCTATAGCACATCGCACCCCATAATAGTCACAACCCTTAAGAAGATCCAAAGAGACTTGTACAATCACAGCTCAACTACGATGGTTATCCACATTCTAGAGAGTTTGTCTCTGCTAATTTTTAAGAGGCTGTACTGAATCCAGGGGCCATTTCTCAGCCCGTTTATCAGCAATGAAGACAAGAGCTTTGCTTCAGTTCTGTTGGCGGCTGAGACGAAATTTGAAGGGGGGGAGTGAGGAATCGGGTGGCCGCCATTTTGTTTTCCCCAGGAAGCTCCGACGTGAGGTGTTTTCTGAATGCTGAGAGATGCACAAGGGGCACTAACATGAAAAGAGGAAGCCTTCCTTGCAGCTTACCTGGAACCTCGATTATAGTGGCCAGATGGGTGGATGGATGCAGCTGGTGGAAACCAGGACAGAAGATGCATAGAGAGATGTTACAGCAAAACACAGGAAGGTCGCCATGGTTTTAAACGTCATACAATAATAGTTTTATGATTCTAATGTAGATTGTATTTTTAGTTTGTATTTTTAGGTGTTGTAAACCAGTCAGAGAGCTCTGCCAAAACTTTTAACAGGTGTCACACCATTTAGAGCCTTCTAACCAACTGGATTTTTCAGCTAGTAAATACAGACTGATACCAATTTCAGCCACACAGAAATTTTGGCATG